CACGAGATTCAATTCATAGAAACACAAGAATGCTCATGGGATATCCTGAGAGTTTAATCTCGATTCACTAATCCACCTGGTGACTTGGCCAACTCTGAGATTGTTCCTGGAAGGGCCCAGACTTGAGGCGCTCAGTCACCGGATTACAGAGGAATTAATGTTGCTGCCAATCAGGTAAAGATCATTAGCTTGTCTTCATTCAACTCCAGCAGACAGAGCAGTCATAAGAGGCTCCTTTAATCAGTTTATTTGCCAGAGTCTTCAATATGGTCCTTGACCAACCAAGTGTGCACAAGCTTTCAGTCCATAGGAGCAATTTGTGACTAGGTAACTGCATGTAGCCAGATATGTTCAGACTCCATCTGTGTGTTACCCATCAACCACAAGGATCTTGATCAATTGAATGTGCACCCCGCATTCAACTCGCAGAACATAATTTTAAGCAAGACTGCATTTAAGCAGAGAAATAAGTACATGTCCAGCACTTTTCCAACTAAACTCTACTACATAAAGAAACGACCTTCCACCCATCAGGTCTTTTCTTTCCCCATCAACACATGCAATTCAGATGAACTTGAGCTATCGTGGGAAAGTTATCACAATACAGCAAAATGTATGTGAAGCACACAATGCCTGGAAACATGAACTAGGGGGAAAAAACCCTAAATATCCTGTTGAGTTTCATTTTATATCCATACAATAGTCTACAACACAGAACATCCTTTCTTAAAGCTATCATTTATTTAAACCAGACAACTCCTTGGAATCAAAACAAGGAATTATTAATTTGACATAAAATAAAACACAATATATACAAATATAAATAGGTTTTGCTCTGTCTTCCACCTGAAGGACTCTACCTCATTCTTAAGCTATATGAGCTGCTCTAGAACAGATGTGGGTCAAGTATGGTCCTGGGGGGCCATATGCAGACCCCCCAGACTCCTTTTGTGGCCCTCAACTCATCTGAATTCTCTGAGTGACTCTTTTGCTGGACAATAAGACTGATTTCTCTCCACTAGAATCTCCCAGGAGTTGCAATCTTCTATATAAATAAAAATGTAATGTTTGTTTGTGGGGTTAACATAACTCAAAAACCACTGGGTGAATTGAAATGAAAGTTGGGCACTACACCCCTAACAGACCAACGAGTGACCATGACTCATAAACCCCTCCCAAAAAACAGCAGAAAGGACTTAAAATCCCAAAAAAGTTAAATGACAATAGAATGCATGCGCAAAAATGACAGCTCCC